GCTCCCCCTCCGGAGGATGCGACAGCAACGAAAATGGAATGGGCAATAAACTCACACATGCCTGCAGGATAAGCAGCACTTGGAGCGGTTTTCCACTGATTATTATCTTTACCAACAAGCTTATGCGAATGCACATGGCCGCAATCTCTTGGGAGTGGACCCAAGTAGCGAAAGTTGGCGTCAAAACGTGGAAAACCCTCATGGCACCTAGTGTCATCAAGCCGAAAATTACACATCAGCCTTGTCGGTTTGGGTGTCGATGCGCCAAAATGGCATTGATGGATAGCACAAGTGAAACCGTTGGACCAAGCAAAAAGGTTGTGAACTTCTTCCCACTGCCATATGGTCCCCGGGACCTCGTCTTTGACGGCCCCCAAGTCCTCTGGGTGCTCAAGCAAGAACCAACCTCCGTGTTGCACGGCTGCGGAACAAGCATCTAAACAACGTGATACGAACTCATTGGCTTCTGACACAATGCTTTGGTTTGACGATGAAAGCCATGGAAAACCCTTTGGCCATGTTCGACTCCTCAAAGGCCTTGGGCCTGGATGCAACCTCCACTGAAACCTGGCACGTGAAAAGGTGTTGCAAGGAGGAGAAACAATCAGAAACCAATTGCCTAGCCGTAAACGATCTGTGATCTGTCGCCACAACTCATCACTGCGCAGATCGTGATCTTCTGAACGAGCAATATCGAATTCAAGCAACTCCAAGACGATTTGGCCTTTAGCCTGCATCTGTCTTAAACAAGAACCTACATCGGCCTGGCGCTGCTTCCCAGCGAACAAGTACAAAACCTTCACATTTGGAAGTTGCACTGGAGCTGATGGAGCGACCCCCATGCTGGGTGTGGGAGTTCCACCCACCTGTCATGAATCTGACTTGGCTTTGTGTTCGATGGCCGGATGGTCACCGTAGCACCCTTTCACTCTGCACTGATGGACCCTATTGCACTTCCCTGAACAATGCCCTGCATTGAACCCAAAACAAAGATCCCGACCGTCCGGCGTCCTCCACACCAACTGAAGCCCCTGAAGCTCCTTCCGCGCCTCATGGCCTTTGGCACCTTTGCCACCCTTCTCACCTTTTCCGCCTTTGGACCACTTGCCCTTACCTTTGAAATCGCCCCTGAAGTCACCAAATCCCTTCAAGTTCGGTCGCTGGAACTTACTGAACGGCGGACGATCACTATTCGCAGCCATAGCTGCCCTCAACGCAACAGGTGTGGTGAAGTATGTCTCCTTCAAATCAGCGTCCCTGATGACCATGGAAAGGGCATTGGCAAGCGTGTGGCCCTCCTTGATGACCAACTTGAAGGCCTCTTTGCGAAGCTTATGCTCATAACCCAAAACAATACTCCAGTCAGGTTTGACCTTTTGATGACCTTCACCCTGCAGTGATGGAATTTGGA